TGTTCTATACCTGACCTGGTTGAGATAGGTCAAACGCTGGATTCAGTAGGGTTTATGCCACCTAGACTGCTCAACCTCAGTTGTTGGAGATCTCTGAGTTGAAATGCGTGATGACGCATAAGTTGTTGATAAGTTGATTTGTTGTTGATAAAAGTTGTATCTATGTTGTTATGTTGTTAAGCTGTGATTGTGTTGTATGTTGATCCTGTTGAGGATGATGATAGTGTTGTTATGTTGTAAGTTGCTTAATTGTATACCAGTTGATGATGATGCTAGTGTCGCTAGATTACCTGTGTTGTAAGTTGTTTTAAACATGTGTTGTTGAGAGGTGTGTAACACATGTGTTGGTTGTTGTTATGATGAATATGATAACTATTCCAATGGTTATACAGTAGTTGCGTTGAGGTGTTGATACAACGTTGATATGTGGAATCAAGTTGAAATGATGTTAAGATATATAATATATGTGTTGTTTATCTTTTGTGTCAGATGTGAAGATGATTATATAGTTGTGTTTCATATTTGATATTTATGAGTTGTTTATTGTCTCTAGCTTACCCTTGCATGTTTCCTTGTTGTTTGGACTGCGATGATCATACGTTGTATGAGAGTAGGGCAGGGATAGGCTTGGAGATAGCTGCTAGAGGCCACGACATAGGTGCCTGGAGATGGTTTTTTTGCTACCTTATAGTAGCATATTTTGTTGTATATAATTAGTTGTTGTTGGTTGTTTGATTAGCAACTTGTGTTGTAAATATTTTTATACTATTTTAGTATATATATTTTAGTAGTGTGTAGTGTTATTTCAGTCTCATCCAAAAAGAGGTAAAATTGAGACTTAACAGGAAACGAACCAGAATACCTTCTGTGAAACTTCATGACTACATGACTTACACTGTCCAAACTTTGAGCCCAAGTACTCGTTCACTCACTCCTCGGTTAAACTCAGGTGCACTCTATCCCATAACACAATATATGAGTTGTGACAGGTTTTCTATGCAGCATCGCGGGTTCATTGCAGCTGTGACCGTTGACAAAGAACCCGGGACGTTCTCAGAGGCTATGAGAGAAGCTAAGTGGCGTTCAGCCATGCAAGAGAAAATTCAAGCTCTTGAGGATAATCAAACATGGACAATATGTGCTCTTCCAGCAGATAACAAGGCTTTGGGATGCAAGTGGGTATACAAGATTAAATATCATTCTGATGGTCGAATAGAACGATATAAAGCTCGCTTAGTCATTCTTGGAAATCATCAAGTTGAAGGAATTGATTACACAGAAACGTTCGCACCAGTAGCGAAAATGGTCACCATTCGAATTATTTTGGCTGTTGCTGCTGCAAGAGGGTGGGAACTTCACCAAATGGATGTTCATAATGCGTTTCTTCATGGCGAGTTACGAGAAGAAGTGTACATGAAATTGCCTCCTGGTTTTCATGTTTCTCGTCCAGGTATGGTGTGCAAATTAAGCAAATCATTATATGGACTTAAACAAGCTTCTCGTTGTTGGTTTAGTATGTTTTCCACTGCACTCAAAGAGTATGGATTTAATCAATCTTATTCAGATTATCCTTTATTCACATTAAATGATCGAGGTATTCAACTTGTGGTTCTTGTTTATGTTGATGATTTGATTATTTTTGGAAATAATTCCACTTCTGTTCAGCATTTTAAGAATTATTTGAGTAGTTGTTTTCATATGAAAGACTTGGGCACATTAAAATATTTCTCGGGATTGGAAGTGGCCAGATCACTTACTGGAATTTTTCTTTGTCAACGAAAATATACTTTGGATATTATTAGTGAAGCTGGTCTGCTTGGAGCCAAACCCGCGGAAACTCCATTAGAACAAAATCATAATCTTGGTTTAGCCACAGGGGATATTCTTAGTGATCCAGAAAAATACCGCAGGCTAGTTGGACGACTTATTTATCTTTGTTTTACACGACCAGAGCTTGCATACAGTGTTCATATTTTATCTCAATTCATGCATCAACCACGCTCAAATCATTGGGTTGCTGCTTTACGTGTGGTGCGGTTCCTTAAAGGCAATCCGGGACAAGGAATATTCTTGGATAAAAAATGTGATATGTGACTGTATGGGTGGTGTGATGCTGATTGGGCTGCTTGCCCTCTTACTCGGCGTTCCCTCACTGGATGGATTATATTTTTGGGTTATTCTCCTATCTTCTTGGAAGACAAAGAAGCATCAAACCGTGTCTCGTTCATCAGCGGAAGCTGAGTATCGTTCGATGGCCAATACAACCAATGAACTTAAGTGGGTGAGAAGTGTTCTATCCAGCCTTGATATCAATCATCCTATGCCTATCCAACTCTACTATGATAGTCAAGCAGCTCTTCATATTGCTAAAAATCCTGTGTTCCACGAACGTACTAAACACATTGAAGTAGATTGCCACATTGTTCATGATGAGGTTATCAGTGGGCATATTCAACCTTCGTATGTTTCCACTCATATACAACTTGCAGACATTTTCACTAAAGCTTTGGGACATGTTTCTTTTAATTGCTTACTTGACAAGTTGGGTATTCGAAATCTTCATGCTCCAACTTGAGGGGGGTAAAGAGAATGAAAATCAATCTAATTGATTTGTTTTATTATCTTTTAGATAATATCCTTTATTTAAGGGATTATTTTGTTAGCATTGCTGATTTTTAGGAAAGATAAGGGAAAGGGTGGTTAATACTTTTTGTATCAACTTGAGGGGGGGTAAAGAGAATGAAAATCAATCTAATTGATTTGTTTTATTATCTTTTAGATAATATCCTTTATTTAAGGGATTATTTTGTTAGCATTGCTGATTTTTAGGAAAGATAAGGGAAAGGGTGGTTAATACTTTTTGTATATATGATACGCATCGGAATATATGAAAGCAGAAAACAGAGAGAGAAACGTTTTTACGTTTTTCCTAATTCTTTATATATATATATATATATATATATGAGTTAATCACTTATACACTACTAGTGTAAAGATTTTTTACAATGACAATCAATCATATTTTTTAATAGTAGCATGTCATTTGCTTATTTAATGAACTAAAAATGAAATAAAATAATTTAAAAGATATGATTAGTTGTCAGTATAAAATTTTTTATACTAGCAGTGTATGGATGATTAACTCAGTATATTTTACTTGGAACAAAATATTTATAGAAAAATAAAATAAAGAAAAAATGTTGTGAAAATGTTGAGAGGATCTGGATCACCCAATTTGTAGAGCACAGCCACAACTGCTATGTTGTTATTATCTTCGGTCAGGTGTACGAGATGGAGCTCGGCATCATGGCTGTATTAAAAATATTTGTAAAAATGATTTTTAGACACCCAAAATACTATATGACACTTAATGAGAAAGAGATAAAAGTAAAATATATGTAGATATGTTAGGTTACGTGACATGATAAGAAGAGAGATAATAAAAAATAAAAAATGAGTGTTATTTAGTATTTGAAAAAGTGAGTTTTTTTACACTAACAGTATAATTTTCATTTTGAAAATGTTGGTATCTTATTTCTGACACGAGTGGCATGTATATTTACTGACACATGTATATGGGCCATATATAATGTGGCAATCAATGGAGCGCGTACTAAATTTATAATTTTGTAAGATGAGGTTACTATGAATTTGGACTGAAAGACAGTTAGTAGTTACATTTATTGCGATACGAAAATTACAATGTTTTTTGAACAGATTATTGAAAATTACTTTTTTATTTTATTTTTATGTAGGAGTAATATTCTGCATTAAAAAAAAAGAAAGTTAACATGTGTGTGAAATGTGAATCGGGTGCACAACAGTTAGCCCATAATTTGTGGGTATCAATTAACAGATTAAAAGTAACCTTAGCCCATCAATCTAAACAAGCACACAAAATATTAACTTTTCTTTCTTTTTATTTCCCCTCCAATTTAAGATTTATTTATTTTATTTTACCTCTTATTTTCATTCTAAACCCAAATTCAATTTTAATAAGAAATATTAAATACTTTTAACTAATATCTTAATAACATCAGTTTGCTAAAGAAACCGTATTTCTATTGTTAGTTCACTAACGTGTTATTGATACGAGTAAAACTGAATTTAAATTAAAAAAAATCGTGAATTCAAATCTTATAAATTTAGTAGATACTTTGCATGAATTGTATAAGATAACAAAAACGGAAGAAGAAAAAAATGGAGAAGCAAATGAGTTTATAAATGATTGTAAGGTGGTGGTGGAGGGTCCTGACAGTTGCAAGTTGCAAGTTGCAAAAAGAAAGGGCTTATCAGATTACAATTGCTTTTCCTTCAGACATCCTCTCTTCGAAAGGATTCGTATATCAAACAACTACATATGATTTTCCTAATGGTAAAGGATAATTAACAACGTAAAGACACAAAAAAAACACTACAATTCATGTATGTTTCTTTACTTATATCGCCTTTCCTTCCAACCAACGACTGTAAAAATCCAACGCTTCACGCGGCTTATATTCCGGTACCGTGTGCCCAGCTCCCTGCATCATATCATTTCTCTTATTAATATTAATTTCTTTTATTACACAAAAGCAATTAAAAACAATTATGTTTACTAACTCTAACTCACCTTGATTGTGAGGAAGGTGAGGTTGTTCTGGTACGCTTGTAAGTACCTACACCAAATGAAATTTCAATTTAACATGATTAATTAACTTCATATAGTATTGGTTTGAGAGAGTTTTACTTAATGCATACCCTGCAACTTGATTATCTGAGTTCCATGGCCTCCATTCATCCACAATTTTATATCCTAGAGATCGTGTCCAAGCCTCACTTCCCGTAAATGGCACGCACATATCATGATCTCCACTGCCACAAATATAATTAATTAAGTTCCAATTAATATTATTGAAATTAATTCAAGATGCAGAGTTGCTAATTAATACCTGAAAATAAGTGCCTTATAGCCCAACAAGGTTAGCTTCTTGTGGTAAGGAATCATGCTTCCAGCATTGTGACGATACTCTATTCTACTAGTACATAATTCCCACGGACCCGCCACTTTTTCCTGTACCCATCAAAATTAAATTATATTTTTAACCTCAACTCTTAATAATTAATATTAATATTAATATTAATACAATATACAAATTACCTACCGACTCAGCATGGATAGCTTTCCTGACTTCAACATTGTTTAGCCATGCACTTGCTACTTCATCACTCTGCTCTTAGCCAAATCAAAACATGTTAACACACATTTAACATAATAAGTGCAAGAGTACTGATGATGATAATGTAGAAGCATTTGGTAACTTACGACACATGCGACATGTCTTGTTTCAGCCAATTGTGGCCATAATGTAACAGGGCCAGCTTTGACTGGTGCTCGAAAAGGCCAAGCTCTTCCAAACATTCTTGTCCTCACTGGAAGAGGCCTCTCAGTAGCCCCTAATTGCTGAAAACTATGTGGTAATGAGCTTCCATTTACTGTGGCAGTGGCAGCATCAGGGAAATGGTAACATGGCTCTAGTATGTTGTACACGTTAAGCCCATCAATGGCCTGCACCAACAAACACACACTATTGTTATTTCTTATCATTCATAATAATAATAATAAGCATGCATGCTTCTCTATGAATATGTCTCACTCACCCTATCAACTTTTTCCATGTTTTTAAAACACAAATCATTTTCGTCCATTGAGTAAGCATTGTAGTAGCTTCCTTTACAAGAAGCTTGTAAATCCTGCAAATTATATAGAGTTTAATTAATTCCATAATGTTCAGCAAAACATATATGTTTTTTGATTTTCAAATTAATTTCAGTGTGGTGTGAATAAAATTAGAATTAGAAGGAGAAATTAAAAGTTAATTATTAATAAACACCTCGTAGATACTGTCGGATATGAGACCCATCCCGTGCACAAATGGGATAAGAGCGTTGCCGTCAATTATTTCGTCCGTCACACCATTTCCAACCATGTAACCCTACACAACAAACAAAAGTCAAACCTACCTTTCTAACTTTGTTACCTTTTTAATGTCTTTTATCGTTAAGGAAATTTCATATAAATCTTGTTTAAAACTTTAATCCCATTCCTTCTTTTAGAAAAAGTCAATCCTGCCCCAACAGTCCACTAGGACCACAATTAATTCCATTCTTTTTATGACTAGGACTCGCGTCAAATTTTTACATAATACTCCCTCCGTTTTTTTTCATAGTCGTTTTGTCAGAGTTTGTTGTTTTTTTTTTCATTGTCATATTACTAAATTCAATGAGTTATTAATTTTTTTCTTCCATTTTTACCCTTGATAATTAATACATGTTTCCTGAAAAATGTGTGTATTTATTTTTAATATCTACCTAATTTTTCTCTAACTACTCATATAAAGTTAATGTGTATTCAACAAAATACTATAAAAAAACAAAAAAAAAAGGGACAACTATTTAATGAAGTAGTTCAATAGTCTAAAAAATGCAAAAAAAGAAGGGTAAAATAGGAAAGTAAGTAATAAATATTTTTGAAAACTAAAATATCAATGATTTCCTTAATTCACGTGCAAAACCTTAAACGACTATGAAAAAAAAAAAAGTAGTATCCATTAACATGTTAAAAAAAAAAAAAAAAACTTGCTTTCACCAATCACTATCATAAAATATTATAGGTAAATGAAATTATACCTTAAAATTGATCACGGGCTTTGAACCACTCCGGATTCCTGGCCAGGTATACACAAATAAGTTATGCTCGTAAACCAGCGATCATATAAATATATAGCAAGTTGGAATTAAAAACTTTGGCATCATTGTAAGCATCACATATCCTTTCTGAGTACTTAACTTTCTTTATAGGTTCGTAACATTTACATGGGAATCACAGACGGCAGTTAGAATATTTATATTAAAGTTTACAAACTTACGACAAAATTTACAAATTCATGAAAGGTACATGGATGGCAAAATTGGATTCTAATATTGATACCTTTAACAACTTCCAAAGCTAGAGTGGGCACATAAACTCCGGCATAAGACTCCCCAGCAATATAAAATGGATTAGCCAGAAATTCCGGAAATTGCTCAAACCACTGCCAAGAAAAAAAAAATGTATATCATTTTTTTGTCTTTATTATTTGGACCATGCTTCGTGTATATCATTGTGACATGCAAATTAACAATTAAGGAAGATTGACGTATAAATATTTCAAATCAATAGAATCATATATTAACAAGTTGTCAATTCAAGTAGTACTATACTATATCTAGTTCTCTTAAATAAAATTTTAGATTTGAGTTTTGTATTTGAAAAAAATTTGATTGATAAAAGAGATCTCACTAGAAGTAATTAACCAAGTTCATTCTTCAGCTGAAATTATTCATCAGCTAAGAAGTACCTTTGAGAGGAAAAGATGGGTATCAGTCGCAGTTTGTAGATCCCCAGTTGCGTATTTGCTTGTGTTCTTGGAGTAAGAGAGTCCAACACCCGCTGGAGAATCCAAGTATATCATGTTGGAAACCTGAAATTAAGATATATAGTAAATATTTATAAACTAACCGATAAATAATGTACTTCAAACTAGAAATTCATTTTTTTTAAATGGGAATGCAATACGAAATAATCCTTGGTTGTGAATTTTGACATACTGCATGATCTGTTTACCATGTCTATAAACTTGGAAAAAAAAAAAAAAAACTTAAAATACATCCTCTTGTTCTTTTCTATTTGTGATATTGGGGTTGATGGGTAAGTTGAGAAAAATCTCATGCTCAAGCATATATAATTAATAATTTTTATAAACTAAACACAGACTTCATGCAGTCTAAACATAAGATCTTGCTAATTAATAAGTAAACATCAACAGAATCATTAATTATGTTATTAACTTATATATAAATGATAGTGAAAAATGTTGATATGATTTATATAATTAGATGCATCCGGGAGTGACGTTCCTAACCTTGGACCAGCTGTAAGGATTGATATGCAAAGTGGGTAGATTCCCCTTTGATTTCGCAGCCTCAAAGTTGAATGGTCCTGCATGCACTCACATTTCACAATCACACATAATGAAAACAAAAATAATAATAATAATAATAATAATAATTATATTTATTCAAGGTGAGGAAAGGACGTCCGAGAGAACAATTTTGTTCTTACATATGTCAGTAGTGGCTTTTGAAAAATTGATGTCGGAAATTAATACAAAGCCGCGGAATTTAAAATTGGTCCCCCATTTGATAGATATAGAGACGGCAACTTCTAACCAAAACAAATTAAAGTGACCAAAGTTTTCAAAATTCAAATGTGTTACCTTGTTCCTCGATGGAACAAGGCGAATGACTAGGTTAATCAGGGGCAATAATTAATTAACATAGACCCCTGCCCAAGCCGAAACAGTTGAAGATTGAATTTGATTAAGTACCACAATTATTGTGTTTCCAATAAAAAAGGGTACATAATTAACATACCATGTTCATAAACGAAGCCATCGAAGCTGGAGCAGCCAGGTCCACCATTCAGCCATAAAACAACTGGGTCCTTTTCTGGACTTCTTTCTGAACTAACGAAGTAGTAGAACAGGTTCTTCCCACTCTCACCATTTCCATCAATACTTATGTATCTGCACTCAATAATTAATCCCAACAAATCAAAATCTCTTACAGTTTTTACAGAAATAACACCGTTTTTCATTTGTAGTGTCCACGTCACACGAGCTTATTCATCAAAATATTTATATGTAAAAGTGCTTGCACCATCAATTGAAATTGGCTTCCAGCTTACAGGAAATTCATCATTGTAAACATAAATTTATAACACACAAGATCTGTTTCTTCATCAGTTAGAGATTCCATGATGAAACAACATCTATAAGTGAGAAATGGAAAATGATACCCAGAGTAGTGTTTGGATGGAAAAGTGGAGGAAAAGCCAGGGAGTTGTGTGACGAGGGATTGTGCAGGGGCAGCTTGAACAGAGATCCAATGACTCAACAAAAGCATGCAATAAAGTAGCAAACGGTGATTTTCCATGACCACTCTCTTTTTCCTCACACAGTGACCCCTCCAAGACTTGATGACATGAAGTAAGGAGCAAGTGATGACTATATATAAATAAATATGAGGGGTGTGTCATGTGTGTGTGAATGATATATATTCAAATACAAAAGAAAAAAAAAATCATTAATTAAGCTGTATTAAGCTAGGCCAAGCATTATTAATTCGATTTAAATTAATTTATAGGATAAAGGTGACTTTGGAATTTATGCCACAAGCCATTAGAAGAAAATCCGCAGCATGGGCAAGTCCATCACTACATGCAACTTGCATTTCTTAGGGGAAACCACGTGTGATTAATTTTTAACTAATTTTTTCTGACTAATTCCAAGAATGATATTCATGTGTTAATAATTAATGATGCACTTCTTTTACGTTTCTCGTACCGTAATTCTTATCTTGTCATCATAATTGCCTTCATCTATCATTCTACTTTGCTTCATAAATTTTTTCTAAAAGCATAAAATTGTAAATATTAATAGATCTAATTAGAAGTAGCAAGTACGTCTGAGCAAAGAAATCACGGAGGAAAAAGCGGGGAGCTGAGAGAGAGACAGAGTGATGCTTCTGAGGAGACAAACAAAATATACAGCTATGCAATACAGCAAAGTAAAAGCTTTACCAATGCCTTAAAGTTAAAGTAGAAATACTTTATTGTATCCACATAAACAAATAATAATAATAATAATAAATAAAAAAACATTGAATGAAGAAGATCTATATTTTGTGGTTACTATTCGTGTCAATGGAGGATTGGAAAAATCGCGCCAATCAATGTATTATGTATAAGATTTTTTTAGTTGGCGATCGATAAGATTTAAACATTAAGGGCCCTTAGGTGGCCAAATATGTTAGAACATATGGCTGTTGATTTTTGAAAAATCCAACCCAACCAATTCATTTAATAAAATTTAATTAATTAATTAATTCATTTTTTATAAGGTAAATTAGTTCATTTTTTTAAAAAATATTAATTAAATTTTTTAAAATTGAATTAATTTGATGCAAAATATATATATATATATATATATATATATCCATTTTATATCTATATATGAATCTTACTTTAAAAAAATCAAATCAAAATTGAATTGATCAACTTTGTATAAATAGGTTAAACAACGAAATTAATTTTACAAAATAGACCGTTCATTTTTTTTTCTCAAAATAAATTGAATTTTTTTTAATATGATTGGATTAGTTCAGTTTTTTTTTTCACACTCCCATTAGAATAAGATATTCTGTACTTATATAATAGTTGTTTGGTACACTATCATTATATGATTTTCTTATTTAATGTCTAGTTTATTTTATTTGTACAATAAAATTTTATTTTGAGTAAGAAATTGAGTTATAAAACATAATATGATAGTTCCTTTCTCTCCTCTCCCACAATTATCTTGTCATTATTATTTTTACCACAATCACTTCTTGCAATTGTTACTTGCTGATGCCATTATTATCATTACTAGAGTTGAATATATAAACTACGTTTAAGCCCATAATTTAAATTAATGAACCATATTTTATAAGTTATATTTTTTAGATTCATGTTCACATCACATAGCCTTGGGGCTAATAGGTGTGTTAATTGTGGTATACAAGACCAAAAAGAAAAAAAGAAAAAAATTGTTGTCAATAGTTTAAATTTATGTTTTTGGTAGAACAATTTAGATCCATTTGTAATGAAATAATTAAATTGTGAAATAGTAACATTACTCCACTAATATTAATTGTTTCTAAATCATCACTCATACTTAGTCAAATCCTCTCAATGTCATCACCAAGACAATGTAATAACGTTATCACACACATACATAAATTAACATACAATACACTTAATTTTATTGTCACACATGTTGACATAAATAATTACAAAAATATTAATTTTCACTTAGTTAAGTTCTTTTTCTTTCAAAATATTTTATGTATGGTCCAAAAAGCTTGTAAGTAGGCGCATGTACTTGTTTAAAATTGTTTAAGCTATAAGCTAAATAGTTTGGTTGAAAACTTCAACCTAAATAGATTAGCATTCTTAATTAAGACCATATCTAGTACTAACTATAAATAAATTGGGTGGTTTGGGAATCTCAATCCATATATCTAATTTTAATCATTATCATTATTATCATCACCATATCAATTCACGTAACTATTGAAAGCAATAGTAATAACAGTAACAACTATGTCAATTTAGGAATATCAAAAACAATAATAGTAGTTATGATAATAATGGTGAAAGTGATAATCAATGGATTATATTTTTATAATTTTTAATATTTTGTAAAAAAAATAAATTAAAATTTATTTTTTAAAATATATATATAATTTTTTTTAATCGATACACACTAAACATCAAATAAAAAAAAAATAAAACTAAAATTTAGCTTACTCTTATTTAATGTTTCTCATCATACTCTATATTATGTCGTATTCTAACAATCAAACGGTCCTATGGAGTGAGATATTTATTTGTTAGAGGACAAAAATATTTTGATTGTCTTTAGCAATATATTGATTGGTTGAATGAAATTCCGGGAAGCTCTGAATCTAACATGGCTTTGTCTCGTCACTGTTCACCACTCCACCCATGTCATTGTCAGCATTGAACAAAGTAAGAACCCGTGAGATAATTAAGAGTGCAAACCAAAACAAAATTTGGGTCAAAAAGATAAAGCCATAGTTGGAAGATTTATCACGAAGACTAAGCCCAAGTTAACCAAGGACAAAGAATTTGGGTGGTCATATATATATATATATATATATAAATATATATCTTTGATTGATTATATGAATCATGGGGCATGAGACACGCTTGTGTGATTATACACTCAGCACCGGGACCAGACCAGAAGAATACATATACGTTGTTGTTTCCTCTCTGGAATAATGGAATAGAATTTTATCTGACACAACCTCTTTATAGTTTATATCAATCAATTATGCTGTTCAGGGTCTCAATCTTCGAGAGATACCCAAAAAAAGTTCCTACTTTTCTCTTTATGTTAGACTCACTTATCTTAACTTAATCTATATTAACAAAAATAAGATAGTTAATTTAATTGATGATTGTAAATTTATTTTATTTATGTAACATGTTTTGCAATTTTGTCTTCATTCTTGTTGAGCTTCCATCTTCAAAACAATGTGCTTGTTGCTTAAAGTTGCTATGCCCAAGACTTGTGAAACCAAAGAGCACTAATACAATGACTACAAAAATAGTGGCATGCACATAGGACGCAAATGCAGTTAGTGGGAGGAGATTAATAATGGCGTTGATTTCAACGACTTGTTGTATTTGTGCGTTGGTGGCCCCTCTATTTTCCATTAATTCTAAAAAAGACAAACGTGGGTTTCGTTTTCTCAATTATCTTTTTCCATGGGAGAGGATCGGTTGGGGTGGTTGATTTATAGTTGGTACTTGCTTATGGAAGTGCTCAACATGATGTGTGCCAAAATGCTTCACAGATAATTTTATCATTTTAAAATATATGTTCACATATGAAATTTTTTACCTTTTTCTTTTGAGAAATCCTGTTTTTTAAACCATTCATATTAATCTCTAACTTCACTCTAATTCACCCTTTAATATGTTGATAATAATTTTATTTTTGATTTTATATATAAAAATATTTATTGAAAGAATTCAAATGGTTAATTTTTAACTTTTAGCTAGAGAATACTCTAACTTAAAAAAAAAATTAAAAAAATTAAAAAAAAATCCTACACCACTCCACTTCTTGTACCACTTGTCCTTCAATATTTGTACCCACACCGCTAGTTGCTTGGTGTTTCACTATCACAAAACCTTGTCCACACATTACCATTTGTAACCAATTAGTTACAAATTTCATTTATGGGTTATGATTAGGGGTGTTCATGAATCGGTTTTTTCAAAAAACCGATCCAAACCGAACCGAACCGTTTTATAAAAGTGGATCGGTTAACCGATCCATTTTTTATAAAGTGGACCGGTTTAGTTTTCTTAAAATATAGATCGGTTTTTTTGAAATTGGATCAGTTCGGTGCGGTGCAGTTATCCACTTTTTTACTCATATATGGATTGGTTTTTTTAGAAAATAAAATTGAAAACACAGGATAACATTTGTAAAAATGGATCGGATAACTGGACCGGTTTATAAAGTGGTTAGGTTAAGATTTTTTTTAAAAATGGATAGGATTTTTTAATATGGATCGGATCGGTTATGGATCGGTTCGGATCAATTTAGATTTTTTGCACACTGATTATGATTTTTAATTTTGTCTTCGGGTGTAAGATTAATGGACATTGGGTGTTCATGAAACGTTACTCATTGGAGTGTACCTAGTATGTTTGGAAAGTGTTACAAAAATAAGAAATTAGATTGGAAAATTTATATCCAAAATGTGAAACCTTTTTCTTTCCCCTTTTGGTATAAAACATAAGAAAAATTCGAAGCCTCCTCAGTGGCAGAAACTAAAGAAGTTAGGGAGGAACCTACTTTTCTAGAAGCATGGAAGGCAAAGATAAAGAGTAAGTTGGTTTCGTTGTGCTTTAATTTTGGGTCATCATTGACTGAATGGGAACTTTATTTGTGTTGAAATACACTTTATATGAGCAATTTAGATATAATTGAATTTTGAAGGGAAGATATGACGATAGACCAATAACGACTTACTGCCGAGTGGCCATGACCATTTTCCAACCCAATAAAATGTTTGATATTTTATGGTCATCATCAATGTATTCAAATCTGCACAATAAACAACTCTGATTAAGATATTGGATATTGCGTCATTACATCACTGATTCAATCAAATAAATTAATAAATAATTAAGTACACAATAAAATTATTTAAATTAATTGTATACTAGTAAAGAACGTTAACTTAATAGTTAATATTAGAATTTTGACGCACATACTAATTTTTTTAAGTAATAAAGTAAATAAACGTTTAAGTATTGGATTCACATGTATTTGTGTTATAATTAATTAATCAAATTTAATTCTAATTAAGAAATTTGTGAATTTTTTTAAATGCATAAAATAAAATAAAAAAACATATTTTTAATGTTTATAATATGACATTGAATTAAAATTACTTTTTGTAAATTTATAGTAAAAGATGTTAATAATTAATTTTATTGAACTTCATCATGATTCTCAATTATTCAATTTAAGTTAAGGTTACGAAAGTATTTTAATCATAATTTTTTATGTGAAAAATTTTAAGTTTTTTAATTAAGGTCTTAATTTTTTGATAAAACTAATTAAGCAACACACATTAAAATTAAAAATTTAAAGTGTTAACTAATAATTCTTACTCTATTCTTAACGATAAATGTTACTATTATTCATTGGATCGTAGTTTTAAAAGAATAATTAATTTTATGAAATTATGCAATATTTTAAAATTCGAATCAATGATTGACTCTGTAACATGGATGAATTAACAAGTTAGATGTTGAACTAGTAGATATTGTAAATATGCATTTGTGTGTATAAATTTCCTAAATAGTAGTTATAACCGCATAAATTGATATAAATAAAATATACTTTAATACAAGTAAGTATTTGTGTGTAATATTCTAAATATTTATTTTATATAATTAAAATTTATAATAAATTATATGTACAAATAAATATTTAAATATAAATTATATTTATAACTTGTATAAATAGACATTTTTAAATATATAAAATATATAAATTATATTTTAGATTTAAGATAAATAATTTATAGTGATATTTTAATATTCTTAATTATTGATAATTTATTTTAAAAATATTAAAATTTAATTAATAAAAAAATATGATAAATTAACAATTAAATTAAATTAAAAATTAAAAAAAAAAAAATCTTTAAAACTCATTCGTCCAAGAATAACCTTGAAAAACACGCTTTGACACAAACATAGTGATTATATTTGTTGGATATATTATCGAAATCTCATGTGCCATAGTGGTTCAGTGAGTCTTATGAAAATGCTTGTTTCGTTGCTCGGTCATTTGAAAATACAATTTTATTATATTTTTGCAAGAGCCTACCAAATCAGCATCATGTGAAGAACGATGTAATGCATTTGTGAACAGACTTTAGAGTATGAGACAGCATGCATTGCAGAGTTGGAAACATGTACAAAAATTGAAGATGGACAAACCATCTATGGATTGAGCTAAAAAAATTGCATGAATTGGTAACTTGCTTAATTCCCAATAATATTTTTACCTATTGCTCCTTATGTTCTTAAACTTTGGTTCCTTTAACATTTTTTTTTTCAAAACTTTTAAAATTTCAAGATGTAATAATAATCATGATAAAGCTAGCATTAATCATCAAATATTTTCCATCATTATTCATCTTGATCTTCTTCTCTCCTGATCAAGATAAAATTTTGACTAAAGTTCCAGGCCCGGGAGGATAAAATTTTGGGTTCTTCTTCTCTCCTGATCTTCAAATGGATCCTATGCCAAAGGCCCAAAATGCTTTGAAGCCACTTTAATCTTTATGCCCTTGATCAAGTCATGACTCGTGAGGATATGCTGTCAGAGTAAGCCCATCCTCAAAGGTAAACTTGACAGATGGAAAAATCCCTTATCAACACTGCAAAATTACAATAGTCAACATGTTAAGAGCTCATCATATACATGAAAATAAAAGTGAACTCGTTGCCTTCTTGAACTGATGAAACTTAATTCACTTTGAGAATATATTTTATGTATCATAATATCATTTGAATTATATAATTAAAATTTATAATAAATTATATGTACAAATAAATATTTAAATATAAATTATATTTATAACTTGTATAAATAGACATTTTTAAATATATAAAATATATAAATTATATTTTAGATTTAAGATAAATAATTTATAGTGATATTTTAATATTCTTAATTATTGATAATTTATTTTAAAAATATTAAAATTTAATTAATAAAAAAATATGATAAATTAACAATTAAATTAAATTAAAAATTAAAAAAAAAAAAATCTTTAAAACTCATTCGTCCAAGAATAACCTTGAAAAACACGCTTTGACACAAACATAGTGATTATATTTGTTGGATATATTATCGAAATCTCATGTGCCATAGTGGTTCAGTGAGTCTTATGAAAATGCTTGTTTCGTTGCTCGGTCATTTGAAAATACAATTTTATTATATTTTTGCAAGAGCCTACCAAATCAGCATCATGTGAAGAACGATGTAATGCATTTGTGAACAGACTTTAGAGTATGAGACAGCATGCATTGCAGAGTTGGAAACATGTACAAAAATTGAAGATGGACAAACCATCTATGGATTGAGCTAAAAAAATTGCATGAATTGGTAACTTGCTTAATTCCCAATAATATTTTTACCTATTGCTCCTTATGTTCTTAAACTTTGGTTCCTTTAACATTTTTTTTTTCAAAACTTTTAAAATTTCAAGATGTAATAATAATCATGATAAAGCTAGCATTAATCATCAAATATTTTCCATCATTATTCATCTTGATCTTCTTCTCTCCTGATCAAGATAAAATTTTGACTAAAGTTCCAGGCCCGGGAGGATAAAATTTTGGGTTCTTCTTCTCTCCTGATCTTCAAATGGATCCTATGCCAAAGGCCCAAAATGCTTTGAAGCCACTTTAATCTTTATGCCCTTGATCAAGTCATGACTCGTGAGGATATGCTGTCAGAGTAAGCCCATCCTCAAAGGTAAACTTGACAGATGGAAAAATCCCTTATCAACACTGCAAAATTACAATAGTCAACATGTTAAGAGCTCATCATATACATGAAAATAAAAGTGAACTCGTTGCCTTCTTGAACTGATGAAACTTAATTCACTTTGAGAATATATTTTATGTATCATAATATCATTTGAACAATTTGTTCCAGTCATTATATGCCTCCAGCTCTACTTTTGGATACTTCATATTCTTCTTATTGATCCTCCTCTATGATAGTAACGAGTTGTTTCAACAAAAATCAGATATTGTGTTAAACCAACCATGAAAATACATCATATAGGGTTCAAATATATTGAACCTAAAATGATTTTTATGACTAAATACATTAGATAGGATTCAAATAATTTAGAAGTCCATGTCTTTTGATTAACCTTATGATAAATAAATAAATAAATTTTTACATAATAAATTAAAGTTTTACCAAATACCAGTAATTAGGTCCTCTATCTTGATTTCATTCTTTGCCTACTTTTACATAATTGATTACGTCAATTTTACATAAAAAAAAATAAAAATAAAAGTAGTATCCCAATTAGAAGCATATCATTGCATTTCCAATCCAAGTTCCTTTAAATTAAAGGATAGTCTTAACACAAAAATATGGATGATTATCTACTTGCTAGTGTTAAAAGAAATGCTTATATCAATTTTATTAGTGTCATTAATATAACAGGCCATGGATCAGTTGAAATGTTTGAATTTTAAAAAGAATCTCACATTTATATATATTTATATATATATATATATATATATATATATATATATATATATCATCATCATAAAAAGGCATGGTGTAAAGCACATTATACAAGAAAACATTACAAGATTCCTTTTACTACCACTCCCAGATGGAGAACAGAGAAATGGAGAAAAGTGAAAAACTCTGCTACAAGATTCCAGTTACAATTTTATTAACAGAAACTATATACAAAATCTTAATGTTGAGACTTGTTAAATAGTTAATCTAATCCTGATCTCATCAACTACAAGAGCCAAGAATTTATACGTCTATATCTAGGATTATAATATGATAGACTAAAAAATTTAACAAATAGATGAGAGGGGTGAAGAAGTACTTACCACTTCGAGTTCCAGGCTAATGAGAGTTTCTTAGTGTTCTTGTAGCAGAGAGAACAACTTCAGTGACTCTACTGCCTACTGACACAAAATGTAGTTTACCAAAACTATATTACTAATACATGTTAATTTGGTATGTAAAGCTAATACTAATTTCATTTATTTAAAAAAAAAATCCTACAAAAATTACTTTTATACTATAATATAATTTTAGTTTTAGAAGATTAGGAATCCAACATGGGATTTACGATTTATATCATGTATCAGTAGGTGGTAGTAGATCCAATCGAAAAAAATTTATTAAATTTCTAATGAATCAATTTATGAAATTGGACATTCTTGTTAATCAAATAGACATAAAAGCAGGAACTGCTATTGCATTGCATTTGATAAGGAAAGGGCCCACCTTATCCAGAAGTTAAGTTTGAGTGGGAAGAAAAATAGGAGATAATGAAAAGGAAGAGGCTCTTATTCTTTGTAATCTCAAACAACACACCTTCAGCCACGGAATGGGGAGACATGACTTTGACTGCAGCTCTTTCATGTTCTCTCGCCGCTGCTTCTCTTTCTTCCGCCGCCGGATTCCGCCCCAACAAATGCATCCCCTCCAAGATTTTCCATTCATTTTCCTTCCATCATCACCACTACCACTCTTTCTTATTGCGAGGTTCACTACTTCTCTTCACACTCCTATACACAAAATAGACATAAGGCTTTTACTTTTTCTTTTGTATTGGAACATATGATTTTATGTTGAATGTCCAAACATTCACTTAGTCACATGCATGCCAAGCCATGTTTTTCCTTCTAACTTGGGATGTGAAAGAAATTAAGCTTAAGTTGATCCTATTAAAAGAGTTTTGTTGATGATATTTTTTAGGTTATTAGAACATGTGTATAGTGAGAATTGCTGATACGAGAGTGAATAAAACTTAAATGTACTTCTATTTGTAATTTTCTTCATAATTAGAATTAGAGTTTTATCTCAAGGAACTTGTACTTTAAAACAGATTTCTATCACATGAATTATGTGGCTGAACTTCTAATTTTGATTAGATAACAATTTCAAAAGTGTTGTCATTTGTCAATGAAATAACATCTAAGTTTTGACTATCAAAGGTACATGGACAACAAATATTTGTTTCATTCAATTTTAACATTGACTATTCATACATAATTTTCTAATAAATGTTATTTGTTATTCCCCTGTTAATCCAATTTTATTTGAGAACATCCTCAAGAAACACCAATGAAATAACATCTAGATTTTGCCCCATAAGAATGGTTCTTATTTATTGATTATTCATGCATGATTCTATGATATATGTTATTTGATGTTCCCCTAGTAAGTGCATGAGAATATAGAATTAAGTTATGATGTTTATAACGTTTCTTTGGGCAAACTTTTCCATTAACACTTATAAGTTAATAAATAAGAAGAAAAATGAATAGATTTTTCTAAAAGTTAAAACTAATTTGTAAACATTATCTTCTATCAGTTCCTCCAAAAATATGTTTTTAAACATATGTATAAGCTAATTTTAATTAATGGAGAAACTAATATCATTTTTCCTTCTCTTTGAAATGTTTATGAAAAAAATTATCTAAACATAATCATATACAACTACTAGGCTCTAGTGCAATATGCTGATATGTATCAAGTGTTCTGCAGTTTCCAATGACGCTGATAGGAATGAAGTGTCATCTGATATCGCAACAAAGACACCATATTCAGAAGCTGATAAGATGGTTGATGGTATGGACTTTGGTGAGCTCTGCAATGAGTTTGAGTGCATCAGCAGTCCCTTGGTAGAATCCACTGCAAGACAACTTGCGCGCGATATACTTGAGCTAAGGGAGGGAAATCGAGCACTTGGAGTCTTTTCTGTTTCCGTCACATACAAGGTCTTGCCTTAATTCACCATAAAACTACATGTTTTATGATCTGTTCGTGAAGAAAACAGCATGATTTTTTAATTATTTTTCTTATAACAGTGGTTTATCACCTTTATAATAGACCAATTAATATATAGCAGTTTGATTTTCTTCGAAAGGGGTAGCCGAAAGGTTTTGAAAACTGTGGTAATTAAAATGATGATAATGTTAACTAGTACTTTAGGCTCAGTAATTTTGCATAAATTTGTAACATTTAAATATATCAACATAAGAGTCTTTGGATAGAAACTTGGAAGAGTTTTTGAAAATTTTTCTATTGAGAATACAAAGTTTTTTTCGATAGAAATTCTAAAAAATTCTTTTAAGTTTGTACTCAGATTTCAGACAGAATCATAATATTATTATGAATTTTGATAATTTAATTATTAGTTTTTAATCAATACTCTTAGGACACTTCCTAGCAGGATTTTGTGTCATGTCTATGATTCTGTTATTGCGTTCAGGATCCTATCAGGAGTTTTACTGGTCGTGAGAAGTATAAAAGAAGACTATGGGCAACTGGTGCACTAGAGAACCCATCTGTGGTGAGTTCAATTTCTAGGATTATTCTTCTCCTAATGCAGCAATTACTCCATGAAAGGATATTCTGTTGTTCATTCTCATCTTATAGCTTCTATATTGTTACTAGTGTTACTTTAGAAAGTATAAATGCTTTCTTTTTAAGTTGGTAGGCTGAAAATACATAAGCTACATGTTACTAGTATTACTAGTGACTATCTTTTGCTGCTTCTCAATTTAAGAATTAGCTTGAATAGCTTTAGAAAGAAAATAACTATATTGGATTGAATTCTTTTGGGTTTAGTTTTCATTGTTCTTTTTAAGATAGACTCTTTTAAAGTGACAAAATGTGTAGAAGTAAGAGTTACATTCTCATGAAATTAGTTATTACTCTAATAGTCTTTTCTTTCATTTATTAGTACTAATGTTGTATTGATATAAGGAAATGAAATAAAATAGTTTTCATAATCTACAAATACAAGTGAGACTATGTAAAATCTATGTTGTGACAGACTGTGCAAGAAATGGTGATGCTGTCAACCAGTGTTTTAAGTATTAAGTGGACAGTGAGAGGGAGGCCAAAATCTGTTGTTGGTGGGGTAGGAGGAGAACTGATACTTAGAGTTACTTCCAAATTTACTCTTAACCAAATTAGTGGTCAAGTCATTGAGCATGAAGAGTTTTGGGACCTATCAGCTTCATCTGCAAGTGCTCAGGCATTTTTCTGGACATCACGGGCTTTGTTTGCTACTATTGAATCTGTCAAAGACTTGACTGACAGTGCTAAAAATTTTAGTGGTAAAATTTCAAACAAAAAAGAGAACTTGGAGATGTATCCAGATCCTTCAGGTGATCCAACCAAGGTGAGTTCTTTTGCTTTTTTCTTTTAAAGTAAATTACAATTACATCTCCTAAAATTTTGTGAAATTGCACACACGGATCCTATTTTTTCTATCCCTACTCTAGTTTTCCTAATTATTTGAAAAACATTACATTAACACCCTTTAAATATGACACTAACTCTTGGAAAATATTACACTATGTTCCCTTACATTGGAAAGTTATAGTAAATATTAAAAAAGCATGTGAGTTGTGTGTAATCTCATAAAACCTCAATAGTATCGGTGTAATTTACTTTTTTTTTTTTTTTCTTTAGATGAATCCTAAATGCCTTATGTGATAAGCACTTAAGTGAATATAAGTATTTTGATTTTATTTTAAAACTTGTTAATGAATAAGAGTTTGATTTTGATACCCCATTGGTGTAAAGATTTTTAAATTACTACAAATCAACAACTTTCAATTATTTAACAACGTGACTTTATGAAAAGCATTTTACATTGACAGTGTACTTTCATTAAATTATTAACCAAACACACCTTCATAATGAATCAATCAAGGTATTCAAACTTTTCAGTTTATTCCATTGCATTCCTAATCACAAGAACATGATGGTGTGAATACCTTGCAAGAAAGACTGCCATACACATGAAAATTAGTACATAGGTCATTTTCTTTCATTTGTTGTTGATCGTTTGTTTGTGCTTTTACTCAGTTCTTTCAAAGGGACGATGGTTTTCAACAGGATGCATACCAGATTGCATTACTCCTGGCAGTTCTCTATTTAGTGGTACAGTTTCTAAGGACAACTTTGTAAAGCTAGCCTACCTTGTTATGAACTGAACTTGTACCTTTGTTCTCCAAAATTTATCATTATAAAGTGTAATTACCAGCTTATAAGCATGATATTGTTTTGTCAAAGTTATAAGCAAATATTCTCACTGTGTGAGTGTGACTATAAACTCAGGTTTTTCCTTGAGATTTTTGGCAGGCCACAACCACAAAGGACCATTTGATTATTGTGCTATAAAACAAGCAAACAAATATTCAAGATGTGTGTGATATTTTGTTTAATAAAGATAAGTTTTGACATACAACTTCGGCTTTACAACAATATTTTTTGTCCAAGAAACGGCCCAAATCCAGATTAAACAACTGGTTCGCTTTGACTAAAGTTACAAGCCCAGGAGGATAAAATGTTGGGCTCTTCTTCTCTCCTGATCTTGAAATGGATCCTATGCCAAAGGCCCAAAATGCTTTGAGGCTACCCTATTGCCCTTGATCAAGTCATGTGTGCATTTGAAATTACTTTTAGCAAATTGAATAAATATATGTTTATCGTTTTTGTTTAAATTATGGAAACTTGCTAAGGTTTTTTTAGTCAATTGAATCTCTCTGTATTTAAAATTAATAAAATTTAGTTTTACTATTGATTTTCTTTGACTTGAAACTCAACTTATTATGATTTGCGATATAAAGTAATTTTAAAAGTTTAAACATCATAAATTTAAAAATTTTAATTAGAATATATTTATAATTAAAAAACATTTTACATCCTCACTCAATCATAATTTTTTAATATATAATGAGAGTTGATTTTATAGATTTTGAGAGTTATCTATTTTTTTTAAATAGATTCTCTGAAAGTGTCAGATATACAACTTAAATTGATTTATCAGATTTTGTCATTTAAACTAAGAAAGTCTAATATTATTGTCAGGGTAAGACAACTTGGATGTGAGCCTTCCACAGCCTTAACATACATATCTAAGCCTCGTATGAAATTAGTTTGTCGGCTACCCTCCAAATACTACGCATCTTTTTAACAATCAGTTAAGGATTTTACCTTGACTTTATACTTCACTTATTTGGTTACTTTATGCATGTATGACTTAACTTGACCTTCGTACGAATTCTACATAAAATCTAGAGAAGACAATTTAAAAACAACTACTCATTCAAAAGCCAACTTACTTACCAGAAAGTTCTCAACTAGGCTTTCAAAGTATTACAACTTATATTCATACAATGAGATATTTTAATTTTTAAAACAATTTTACTCTCCTCTAATTTTTATGTATCTCAATTAAGACATGCATCTTCACCATTTGTCTATCAACTCAACAACTTGATCAATTATAACACCATACAACTTTACAACTTTATCAACTATCAACATATAGCTTAAAACAATATACATCTTACAACTTAATCAACTTCATCAGCTCTCATTATAGATAACTTTAAACATCATCATATATCATCATTCATATAAATATTTCATCATACTTCAACTATTAAACAATCTAAAACATCATATTTCATCAATTAACCAACGCCTAACGCTATTCCCTGGCACCCGACACTATTAAGATAGAAAGTTTTCTGTCTTTTCCACACGCAACACCAATCCACCTGTAATGTGAATGAGACAAAGAGCTTCTTAGTCCCTCATGCCTGGTGTGACAAAACCTACGCCCCCTCTCACTCAAGCAAAGAGCATCTACCTTACTCACACCTGACATCACTAAAATGGCGCCAATATTGTCTAGGCAGAAAGTCTTTGTCTTGATCATGCATGACTCCTCTCAACTAGGGTTTAACTTTACCAAGTCAGAGACATTTATCTCTCCTCACACCTAGCGTGACCAAGTAGAGAGCCCCTAATTTGAGTCACGCCCAGCACCGTGAAGGCATGTCAGGCTTGATGAGAATTTTCGCACTCAACAAAATCTCATTTTAGCTTAATCCACCTGAAACTCAACAAATGACCAACATGCAAAACAAACATCCACACATATACCACATATATAACACCATTCCAACATAAAACAACACATGCATCCATCTTAATTCAAGATTCACCAATTTCACCAACAACCACTTCAACAACTACACTTCACCATTCATCATGATTTCAATCAATCTCAACATAAATGATTTTTAGGGAAAATAATAACTATAAACAAACAGTATTCAATCAACAAACTTCATTTACCTCAGAACACACCAAAATCAAGAAGAGAAGGAAAAGATGGAAGAAGAGATTGGAAACTCTGCACAACTCTCAACTCTAGATTCTTGGCTTTGAAGCTTTGAATCACCTCTCTACTGATTCAAATAAGCTATTGGAAGAATTTAGAAGAGATCAGGGGACTTGAGGGAAGGGAAGATTTCTCTTACTCCAAACACCTTCTCTCTAGCTTCTCCTTAGTTTTTCTTAAATAAGAAGTTAATGAAGTTAATGTCTTAAGAAAAACTTTATATACACTTACTCTAACTAAAACTATCTCAGAGACATCTTAACTCAAGATCTTTTGTCCCCAGAGCTATAAAATAATAGTCATAATCAATTAAAGCAACAATTAATCATATATAACATATAATTAATTAAATTAGCTAAACTCTCACAATGTTACAATAAATTTATTAAAAATAAACTTATTGAAAGGAAAAAGTTATTCTCTCTATTTATTTATTTATATATATATATATATATATATATATATATATATTGATTAGCAATGAAAATATTGCTTAAACCAGTTATCATAAATATT